TTTTCCTCCTTTTCTGCTTTATCTTTGGATTGTTTTTCATGATTCCATTTTATCACCTTTGTTGCCTTATTAGCTATAAATCTTGTGTGACTGTGTATATGTAGGTATGTGTTTCAGTGATTTCTTAGATTTATAGTATACATTTTTAATTTACCAGTCTACTTTCAAGTGAAATTATACACTTCACATATAGTTTGGAAACTTACAATTATATTTCTGTCTCTCTATTCACAGCCTCTGTACTATTTTTGTCATATATTTTATTCTACATATGTTATAAACCCTATAATATGTTATTTTTCCCTTAAAAGATCCATTATACTTTAAAGAGATTTAAATAAGAAAAAGAGTCTTATATTTATATACTTATCATTTACAATGCTCTTTCTTTTCTATAGATAAGATTTCTGTTTGGTATAATTTTCCTGCTGCCTAAAGGTCTCCCTTTAGTATTTTTGTAGTTCAGTTCTGCTAGTGTGGAGATTTTCACTTTTGTATATCTCAAAAAGTACTTCACCTTCTTTTTTTAAACACCTTTTTGTTCGGTATAGAATTCTGTGTTGACAGTTTTTTTTTTTCCTCTGATGTTTTAAAGATGCTACTCTACTTCTGTCTTGTATAGTTTCCCAAGAAAAGTTTGCTGTCATTTTTATTTGTGTTTTTTCTGTATGTAATGTGCCTTTTTTCTCTGGCTACTTAAATTTTGCTCTTTATCACTGGTTTTGAGCAATTTGTGATGTGCCTTATGATGTGTGGGTTTCTACATGTTTTGTGTGTGTGTGTGTGTGTGTGTGTGTGTGTGTGTGTGTACTTGGCATTTGCTGACTTTCTTGGTTCTGTGCGTTTATAGTTTTCATCAAATTTGGAAAACCTTCAAGCCAGTTACACATAAATTATGCCAGTAGAAGTCATCCAAATTCACTGTAGCTCTGTTAATGTTTTCTCTCCAGTCTTATTTCTGTGTTTTATTTTGGATCTATTGCTATATCTTTAAGTTAACTTATTTATTCTTTTACAATACCTACTTGCTGTTAACTCAATCCGTGTGTTTTTCATCTCTGAGTTATAGTTTTCTTCTGACTTGAGTCATATGTGTAACTTTGTGTTCTTCACATGCTCAGTCTTTCCTCTAGTTTATTGAATATATGCAGTTACAGTAGTTTTAATGTCCTTGTTTAATCATTATGTCGGCTGTAACATTTCTGGAGTGGTTTTTCTTGATTTTTCTCCTCACTCTGGGTCTCATTTTCCTGCTTCTTTCCCTACCTCATAACGTTTTAATTGGGTGCCAGGCGTTGTGAATGTGACCTTGTTGGGTATTGGATATTTTTCTGATCCTCTGAAGATTCAAGAGTTTTGTTCTGGAACCCAGCTAAGTTACCTGATAACAGCTTAATCCTGTTGGCTCTTGCTCTTCACCTTCGTTGGACAGAACCAGAAGTATGTTGAGTTTACAGCTTATTTGTTCCCTCTGCTGAGGCAAAATTCTGAGTCTTCTACCTATTGCCATGCAAACTTGGAGGTGTTCCCATTCTGGCTGGTGGAAATAGGCACTACTCCTAGCCCTGCGTCAACTGTGGAGAGTGCTCCCCTCACTATCTTCAGGTGGTTCTTTCCCAAGCCTTTGATAGCTTCTTCACACGCATATGCTGATCGGTATTCACGAGCAACACTTCCATGTCATTGAAGGCATCTGCCTGTAGATCTCCGAAGCCTTGTGTGCCATCCTCTTCTCTCCGTTATTTGCCCGGCAGACTCGAGCTCCCTGGCCTTCCTGGACTCCTAGGCTCTATCTCCTCTACTCAAGGAGATTGCAGACCCCTATGTGGGTTCCCCTCCTTCCAGCACAGCCCGGAAACTCTACTTGCAGTACTCCCGGACAGTCATAGGGCTCACTCTGTTTCTCACCTCTCAGGGACTGCTCCTTCATTACCTGGTGCACAATGTCTTGAAAACTGAAAACTATTCTTTCATATGGTTTGTCTTTTTTTTTTTTTTCAGTTGTTTTAGAATTTTTTTTAATGTTTTATTTATTTCTGAGAGAGAGAGAGAGGCGGTGTGAGCAGAGGAGGGTCAGAGAGAGAGGGAGACACAGAATCGGAAGCAGGCTCCAGGTTCTGAGCTAGCTGTCAGCACAGAGCTTGATGTGGGGCTCGAACCCACAAACCGCAAGATCGTGACCTGAGCCAAAGTCCGACGCTTAGCCAGCTGAGCCACCCAGGCGCCCCTCAGTTGTTTTAAGCAGGAGTTTAAACTCAGTTTCTATTACTTCATCTTGGCCGAAAGCTGCAGCTCACCTTAGAACATCTGGAGAGTTTGTTAACACTACACATATCTTGGACCGTACTGCAATCTCATTGATTTACCGGCTAGAGCAACGAGGTGAGGGTATATGATTTTGCAATTGTACGTTCAAAGTATGCCAGGCGTTAGGTAGACAAAGTTAAACTAGACATCATACTTGTTTACAAAAGCATTTTTGTTTACGAAAGCATGTATAAGCCAGTGCAAAAGATTAGTTCTTATGGCATAAAGTATTACTGTCTATAAATGGTGTGCTGTGGAGAAGGTATCCAGTGGTAGCCCTGAGGCAGCCAAGGGAGGGTTAGCAAATGCTTCCCGGAAGAACCACAGGAGGGAATTTGGAAGGATGGGCTGGAGTTAATTGAATTAGTGGAAATAAGAGGTATGGGGACCAGGCGGCAAAGACGCACCAAAGGAAGAAAATACGGTTATAAAGGCTCAGAGATGCAAGGTTGCAAATAGATAATGTGGGATGGTTGGATCAAAGGGGGAGAAGAGGTGATCTCCATTGTCCCATCCATAAAAGGAAACTCCTTTATCCCTAATGCCTTTATCCCTACCCGTTATGACTTTCTGGGTGGGGGCAGGAAGTGAAAGGGAATATTTTTTTTCCACTGTTACCTGATTTACTTTCTTTATTTGCCCTTTCCCACAGCTCCAGGCTTGATTCAGCATTGTCTAAAGCCGCCATTTATCAACAGTGGTATCAGGGTTTACTAATCATTTGTTCTTCCTCTTTCATGCTCTGTCAAGTCGCTGTTTATTTCTCAGATTGTCACACTTTACAGATCAAACATAGGCTTCCCCCTCATCAGCCCCTATGATGTATGGTTTCTATAGATTAATTCCACAAGGAAAACCAAAACAATTGCAATCCAAACACTGTTTAACATTAGTTATCTTTTTTGTGTGTACTTCGATTAAAAAGTACCAGAATACCTTTAATTAATGATCTCTTTAAAGTTTTTACAGTCTTTCAAATGAACAAGTCAGAAACAGTTACACAAAAGCCACATCACACGAGGTGTTGGACAAAGAATTTGGCGACATCTGATTGTTACTCACTCAAAATTCTTTTGGCTCTTGCGGCCATGGTAAGCAGAAGGAGTGGGGGAAAAAGACTTGTATAGTGGATATTTGTCCCTATAAATGGGGACGACCCATATTGAGCCCTCCTCCTCTCTTTAGGGAATTCTCTACCTTATGTAACTTAAATATGGTAAACAGAACCTTCTTCCCATAATGAACTGAAAGCGTCGGACAAGCCCAGTGTCCTAGCTCCTGACAGCTGTTGCACAGGCCTATGGTCCGGGGTCAGCTAAGCGAAATAATCCACCTGGGATTTTTACCTTGGGGACAGTGAGGCAAGGTTGGGATGATTTTTCCCGGTAGAGAGGACAGATGGGAGTGGGGGTAGCAGCAGCATTTTTCAGTAGCGGCGGGGCCAGCAGTGGCACGCCATTTCTGGGTCGCTGGTGGAGACGGGGACATCCGTGTTCTGTGGTGACACCAGACTGAAGTGTGATTTTGCCTGTGATTCCGGCGACATGGGCTTCCTTTCAGTTTTCCCATATCCAAGTCTAGGAGAAAAACTCATTTTTATGGCGATGGGTAGCGTAGTGATGGGGATGAGGTACTAGAGAGGCCCATTTTGCCTTGAAGCTGGAAGTATGTCTGATTAACTCATTCATTTACTGGTGCATCAAAGGTCTGCTAAACACCGGTTTTACATCACGCTACATGCTGGGTGCTACAGATACAGAAATTTGTAAGACTATAATTTGATAGTATTCTTAAAATTATTGCTTCAATCATTACCCTTTGTTAAGCAGTTGTGACACATATTTCACTTACTATAAAACCTCACTCTGAACAGTAATAATTTCAGGAAAACAATCAGGGACTGCTCTGAGAGGAGGGGAAATTTCCGTTTAAGCTGAGAGCAGCACATTAATATTGAGCATACGTGAGCGCTCAGCACTAAATACCAAGCACCGTTGTAAGCCCTTTTTATAAATTAACTCATTCAATCTTCATGGAAATCTTAGTACTATTATGTTTTACTTGTTTTAACCATAAGATACTCCTTAAAATTTTTTAAATGTTTATTTTATTTTATTTTATTTTATTTTATTTTATTTTATTTTATTTTATTTTTTGAGAGAGAGAGGGAGACACAGAATCCAAAGCAGGCTCTAGGCTCTGAGCTGTCAGCACAGAGCCCAATGTGGGGCTCAGACTCACAAACTGCGTGATCATGACCTGATCCGAAGTTGGACGCTTAACTGACTGAGCCACCCAGGCGCCTCATGTGATACTCTTTTGACAGTGGTCCTTCCACATGTTTGACAGCTACTGGTCATGACACTACCGCAAAAAAAACAGCAAAGAAAGTTTCAGAGTCCTTGAGAAATAAAGGTGGGGTCTCTGAGATTGTCGAGGGAGACAGGAGTAATTATTTTCTGCCAAATGGAAGTTTTTCAAACTGCCAAAGCATTTTTCTAGGGAAGTGAGTCAAAGGCAGACATGGTAGTATCTCTCCAAACCAGTGGATAGAGCAGGGAACTCAACAGTCTCTTTGAACTATGTCTACCAACATGAATAGCAACATCTTCCTAAAGGTAAGCTTGAAACAAGTCATTGGTAGGCCATCCCAAGTGTCGTTTAAAAAGAAATGGTACTAGAAAACCAAAGAGTAAACACATGCACGATTTCTCATTTCACCCTCATGAGATCAGCAAATATCTGTAACAGAATTTCCCTAAAGCGGCCCACAGAGGCAAGATGACTGTCTCCGTTCTGAACATCTGAAAGGAAAATTGCCACTTGTCTTCCCAGACTTCCTTCCACACTCACTGGACGACCTGAAAAACAGGGATGTCACTGGCCACGCTACTACATTCTATGAGCCGCAGACGGACGCGGCCTCTCCCCTCAGGCCTCTGGATTCACAGGAACAATGACTTTGAAAACTTCAGTGCTCCCTCTGCCTTGCACATGTTTATTTTCTCCCATAGCCTATGCCGAGACCAACATAGACAAGATCCTAGCTGCATAAGGAGTGTTCCGGATTACAAATCTTCTGATGTTTCAGTCTACTTCTTCATGTGATATTCCGAGTACATTTTCCTACAGGGGAAAAAGAGAAACAGATCCATAAAATTCCAAGTTTGAATCACTGTTGAACTGAAAACATATACCTGTTAACTCTGCTCTCTTGTCCCAGGCATGGTCTGGGTTTTAGAGACTATGTTAGGGTTGGGGGAAGCTTTGGAAAGATGAGCAGCGGCCTTGGTATTCCTGAAAGGAAAACATATACGAAGGACTTATGTTACACATCCAGGCCTGACGGGCTAGATGAGAAAGGCCTTTGATGCTGTCTTTAAAATTCAAAAGAGAGGGGCGCCTGGGTGGCTTAGTCGGTTGAGCGTCCGACTTTCGCTTAGGTCATGATCTCGCGGTTCATGGGTTCGGGCCCCGCGTCGGGCTCTGTGCTGACTGCCCGCTCAGAGCCTGGAGCCTGTTTCAGTCTGTGACTCCCTCTCTCTCTGACCCTGCCCTGCTCACGCTCACTCTCTCTCCTAGAAAAAAAAAAATTCAAAAGAGTAAAAAAGAAAATTAAAAGAGTAGATACTGGAAGGTTGAAGGTTATGGAGATCACCAACCTCTCCCTACAAAGCTCTGCGAAATGGATGAGGTCCCAGGAACAGAGGGTAACATTTGAACAGTCCTTGACAGTGAGGAAAAATGGCCAAGGGGTGAATTAAAGTCTCACGAGAACTACTTTAGCATGCTTTTTATTTTATTTTTTTAAAGTTTATTTATTTTTGAGAGATAGAGTATGCATGTGGGGGAGAGGGGTGGTGGGGGGGGGAGAGAGAGAGAATGCCAAACATGGAGCCCAATGCGGGGGTTGAACCCAGGAACTGTGAGGCCATGACCTGAGCCGAAACCAAGAGTCAGACCCTTAACCCACTGGGCCACCCAGGCACCCCTAACATGCTTTTTAGATACAGTTGCTATTCATTCATTTGACTGCTTGATTGACTGATTATGCTCAGAGTATTGGCTGAACATCTATGATGTATGTAGAAAGAATGGAAGTTCTGAGAGACAAGCATAAAATACATAAACCTGCCCTTGTGTTTGTACTTTAGTTGAGAAGGTTAGACGTACTTGCATGAAATGCAAAATACTGAGAGAGTTGGGAACCTTGGGTGGTGCATAGGAATCATTTTCCTCTTTCCATACCATTATAAGCACACCCTGGAGCACCACCAAAATAACAGAGGCCAATGGAAGTCCCTAGAGGCTTGCCACCCAGCGTCATCCTTCTTTCTTGTGCACGAAGACTGAGCACAGATGTCACATCTCCTTCATACTTTCATAGCTCATATCAACTCATAAATATGCCTTTATCAACATCTTCCTTCTTTAGTTTTTGCAACTCCTCTATCAGCCTTGGAAAAATTATAGTCCTTTCTCTCTCATCCCCCTCCCAATTTCCAGCCACATGCTCCGAATTAAACCTAACTGCGGCCAAGACTCAAAATTCAGATTTATGATGACCTGGACAAGTAAACTAATAAATTACAAATGATAAGGAACAATGCCATCAAATTCTGAAGCCCTTGAAAATTCCATTTATTATTTCCACCAAAAATCCATCGATCTTCCCTAATTAGAACTGTTTTTCTCTCTAGCACCAGCAGCCAAATTAAAAAATAAGTAAATAAAAATGTATTCTTTTTTCCTTTTGTCATTTTATGTGCTTGCTAGAATTAGAACGACCACTTTTTCACAACAGACTTGTTGAACTATACCCTAGAATTCATCCTTTTAAAATATGTAATCCAGGGGCATTTAGTATGTTCACAAAATTGTGTACATTTGCCTGATTTTACAACATTTCCATCACACAAAAAGAAACCCCTTATCCATTAGCAGCCACTCCCCATTCTCTCTCTTCCCCTCTAATCTGCCTCTGAAAATTCACCTGTTCTGGACATTTCATGAAAATAGAGTCATATAATATATGGCCCTTTTGTTTAACTTCTTTCACTTAGCATAATGGTTTCAAGGTTCATCCATCTGTTCCATTCCTTTTTATGGCTAAATAATATTCCACTTTATGGACATACCACCTTTGGGTTTGCTATTCACCATTCATCACTGATGAACACTTGAGGTATTTCCACTTTGAGGGTATTATGCATAACGAACGCTGCCATGGTCATTCATCTACAAGTTTTTATGTGAACATTTGTTACCAATTTTCTTGAGTATATATCTAAGAGTGGAATTGGTAACTCTATGTTTAATATTTTGGGGGGATTGCCAAATTGTTTCCAAAGGAAAAATTTTAGAACTCAACCAGTAATGTATGAGGGTTCAAATTTCTCCATGTCTTCACCAACATTTGTCACACCATGCTAGTGGGTGTGAAATATCTTATTGTGGTTTTGATTTGCATTCCCCTAATGTTGAAATGAAGACGTTAAGCAAGCATCTTTTCATTGTTTATTGGCCATTTGTGTATCTTCTTTGGAGAAATGTCTATTCAAAATTGGCTCTTGTCTTTTTACTGTCGACTTGTCAGAGTCTATTACATCTTCTGAAAACAAGTTCTCTTTCAGATAAATGATCTGAACATATTTTGTTCCATTCTGTGTGTTGGCTTTTGATTTTCTTGGTAGTGTCCTTTGAAGCAGGAAAAAATGACTTATTTTTTAAATTAATTTTTTTTAAGATTTTGTTAAATAATCTCTATACCCAATGTGGGGCTCAAACTCACAACCCCAAGATCAAGAGTCACATGCTCCACCGACTGAGCCAGCCAGGCACCCCTGAATCAGAAAAATTTTTAATTTGATGTAGTCCAATTTATTTTTTCTTTTGTTGTTTGTGCTTTCGGCATAGATTATTTTTTATAGAGCACTTTTAGCAGTTCGGCTACACTAACTAACTAACTAGACTTCTGAGAACTGGGCCCAGTTGATACTTACAATCTTTTTGGGAAAATGTATTAACAAGTCCCACAGGGATGATTCTTTCCTGTATATAATCCTAGTGCAGATATGAAGTATTGTAAGAAGTCAGAGGCTGGTGAGGCCCTTAAGCTAGGGTGGTCAGGAAAGGCTCTGGGGCAGAGGAGGGGCTTAAGAGGGTTCTGGAAGAAAGAACAGTTAAAGCCAAAATTAACATCAAGGTGTCTACCCTCCTTTTAGCACGAGTTAAGGCAGCTTAAATTGAGAATACTGAAGAGCCTCAGTTGTTCAGATCAGCCACTTACGGCTCCCATACCTGGTGCAGGCGTGGAAAACAGAAGGGAACAGAGGACGAGGTAAGCTAACAGGCAGCCACTGAAGGCCACAGCGGGCACGTCAGTCCCTTAGCAAGATCAGCTCTATGTCCTTTCTGGAAACCAAGAGACCAAGACTGGAGGCCTCAGGGCCATGCTGACCCTGCGTGGAGCAGACTCAAACCTGCTACGCTGGCTCCCTTCTAGTGGAAAGAGGACGAATGATAACGTGGGACAAAGGCCTGGGCTTCCAGGAAGGGTTTGAACAGACCGGAAAAAAAAGAAAAAAAGAAAAAAAGAAAAAGGGCCCTGAGCCTACTGATATTTGGGCTAAACTAAACTACGGGCTAAAGCATTTTGAAAAGGTTAACCTTATGAGTCCGTCTGAGTATATAGCTGCTTTGAGGAAATCTCAAGGAATGAGGAGAAAGGTCGGGGGTGAGAAAGGTCTGTTTCGCCTGATGGCAGGCAGTTAAAAGCAAATACAAGTCTGGGGCGCCGGGCTGGCTCAGTGGAGAAGAGCAGGTGACTCTTGATCTCGGGATTGTGAGTTCAAGCCCCATGTGGGGCATAGAGACTGCTTTAAAAATAAATAAATAAACTTTATTTAAAACTAAACAAAAAGATACTGACATAATGGCTTGCTTTTTGGTTTGTATCAAATGTCCCTTTTAGGGGCACCTGGGTGGCTCAGTCGGCTGAGCGTCTGACTTCGGCTCAGGTCATGATCTCACGGTTCGTGGGTTCGAGCCCCGTGTCCGGCTCTGGGCTGACAGCTCAGAGCCTGGAGCCTGCTTCCGATTCTGTGTCTCCCTCTCTCTATGCCACTCCCCTGCTCATGCTCTGTCTCTTTGTCTCTCAAAAAGAAATAAATGTTAAAAAAATAAAAAAGAAATAAACATTAAAAAAAAAATCTCCCTTTTAAAAGGGCTGGGTCCAAGCGGCAATGACAAAATATCATGGTCGCTGTGCCTCTCCCTGCCTGTCAGCAGCTAAGAGAACAAGGAACTGTTTCCTCTCCTCATCTCACTGCCAGACTTCTGCTGCCTGCAAAATGTGTGAGAACAAATTATATCTAAACATTTTATATCTCGACATCTCTTCATTTCCTGTTATATCTGACCAGTCCCTCCTCTCCAACACACATACCCCATGTACCCTTTGGGAGTCCAGTAAATATTTATCGATGATGAAGATAATCACTAAAAATAGGTTCCCATCACTGGGATATATCTCTTGCCACTCAACTGTTCTAAATCCATGAGAACTGCCTCAAAGACGTGTTCCCTTCGGTTGAAAAAAAATGAAAAAAGAAAACCCCCCACAACTTTCCACTCCATCTCCTCTGAAGGCTGGGAAGATTCATTTTGAAATCGGATGCACTCACCCATCCACCGTGCTGCTGGACCCAGGGCGAGAAGCTGTCTTTGAGGTACTTGGTTCCAAACCCCAGCACCCGGTTCATGGGGTGATTGTCGATGGCGGTGAGCTTGCCAATGACGTCTATTGCAAGGGCAGCCTTAAAGCCCTGAGCTCTGACCTCTGATTCTCCCCTGGTATCCACACCCCTTAGGAACTGGTCTGTGATGTTCTTGAAAACACGGTAGCACAGCAGGTCCTGGAGGCTGTTCGTTAAAGCCTTGTCTTTCTTCAACTGTAGACAAGAGAATACGCGTTTAGTGAGGTCAGCGGCCCTTGCCTCCACGGCCTAACACGAGAATCAACAGCGGGCCACTGAACCCTGCAGTGGAGAACCCTGGATTCCAGTCAGACAACTAAGAAATTTCTTAAACTAAACGTTTATTTGGGAATCCTCTGGTCTTTGAGGAATGACAAGCTAAGCAGGTTCTCAACAAATATTGCTTCCAAAAGGGATATCCCTGTGGTGGGGATGCGTCAGGTGCCAGGTAAAGATTTCAGTGGAGCAGCGTCCTTTATGTGAGCCCAGCCCCCTCCCCCGCCCCCCCCCCACCCGCCGCGGGACACAGGGTCCTGCCTGAATTATAAATCTGAAGCAAGAATGACTAGTGTCCTCTATACCAAGAATGGACTCCTTTTGATCCATGACCCGGTTGAAGAAGCTAGACTCAAAACCCCAGTGGGCAGCCAGGAGCCTGGCCTCCACCGGAAGGGGAGAAGAATCAAATGCCAGGAAGAAACACGTCCGTGGAGCACCCTGGCCCCTCCCCCCTTGCTCCCTTAGGTGGCACCTGCCTCTGGCATCTCAGGAAGCTGCCAGATGAACCTGCATGTGGCCTCAGGGATGAGTGCTTTGCAGGTGCTCTGCAAGCCATGAGATTAGGGGTTAGGGTTAGGGTTAGGGTTAGGGTTAGGGTTAGGGTTAGGGCTAGGGTTAGGGTTAGGGTTAGGGTTAGGGTTAGGGTTAGGGTTAGGGCTAGGGCTAGGGTTAGGGTTAGGGTTAGGCCTAGGGCTAGGGTTAGGGTTAGGGTTAGGGTTAGGGCTAGGGCTAGGGTTAGGGTTAGGGTTAGGGCTAGGGTTAGGGTTAGGGTTAGGGTTAGGGCTAGACAGAGCCACTGTGCCACTCTGGTAGGAACTCACACCCAGGCAGCAAAGCCAGCTTCTGTGTGTTCCTACTGGACTCCTTTACTGGAGAAACAAGCACATTTTCTGCATAAGTAACGTAACGTGTCACCCCAAATCATCAAGAGACTGCATCGAGCAGAGGGATATTTTTGAAAGTGCCAATTTATGGGATGAAGAGGAAAGCATCTCTCTTTTGAACCACGAAGGTCGGCTTCATATCACCCCCTGTCCCTTGCCTCCACGACCCAACGCAAGTCCCTTCTGAGGAAGGTTGGGAAGGAGGCTGCCATGACAGCCACAGAACTTTCAAGCTGTAAAAATCGTCAAGGATTCGAATCGGTCCCTCCCAGGACAAGGACTGCACTGCCGGCTTGTTATTGGCATCTACTGGTAACTCTTCGGGTGACAGGAGGCTCACTCCCTCACAAGGCAGCCCTGAGTGCTAGAAAGTTCATTCCTAAAATGGAGAAAACCAGTTGCCCCATAACTCCTGTCCAATGATGTTAATTCCGGAGAAACTAATAGGAGTGCCCTTACGTCACGTACCGCATCCTATTTCCTTTCTCTGCACGTGTGGACTTGAAGCTCACACACCCTCCCGGTTACCATCCTCTGGGCACACAGCTCACAAAGGCATAGAGAGAGGACCGACTGAGAAGCTGGGCCCGGGGTAGCGTGGCTGGCCGGGTAGTGCTGTTTTACCTCCTGCACAGCCACGTGGGGCCTGACTTCCATCTACTGATGGTGGCAGGACAGGGCGAGGGGTCCACGGGTCACTCCTTGACTGACAGGCCCTACAGGGGTCTCGGCAGTCTGTGGGCAATGGCACCGAATCTCGGGGGCCTGCTCACCAGCTCTCTCACACTTTCCTGACGGGAATGACGGGTCTTGACTTCTAAATGGCAGGAAGTCCAAAGTTCTCCAAGCAACTCTAATCGGCCTCCCTGGCCAAACAGCTAAGAGAGACCTCGAGCAGAGAACAGCCCAGCCACTCTCGGGGGAGGTGTCGGGAAGGACTCCAGCCTCGGAGCAGGCGTGGGACACGGCTGTCCAGACTGCAGGGCAAACGCAAGAGTCTCAGCTTCTCTGAGGATCAGTTACACCGGGAACCAGATTCATCATTCTATTCAGCAAAGTTTAATTTATTGGTGTCTTTGCTTGCAATAACAAAGTTACATTTTTCATTTCCAAAAATTCCAGGGAGGCTCCAGAAGGTTTACTTATGTTTTCCAAAGTGATTCATTTTTGAGATGCTGCCAGCATGAAGAATTTGGAGTCCAAGGGAAATAAAATTTAGGACTAAGTGGAAACCAGAACTTGCAGAGGAATACAATCTGCAGTACGATTCCGTTCTCCGTCCCAGTGCGTGGGCCCAGAAAACAAATCACATTAGTTCAAGAAGTTCCATACCTCTCTTTCCAACAGATCCCCTGAATATTTCAGCAGCTCAACGATTTTGGCTATTATTTGCTCTTCTCCATCTGTCGGGGGAAAATTCCAGTTAGTTCTTTTAAGAAAAAATATAATCTTAGCTTTCCCCCCCCCACCCGGGACAACACTTGTAGCCTGATTAGGGATTGAGGGAGACATGCGCTTTGTAATTCTTAGCAACTTAACTCTTACCTCGCTTCATCTGATGAGGCACAAACCACTCTGGACACCGTCTCCTGCAGACCCCTCCTCTCCTTTCTTCTTTTTTCCCTCAGCGCCCCACTTCTCACCATGAAATGTGCCACTGTATTTACTGGAAGAATGTGGTTGAGGGGCACCTGGGTGGCTCAGTCGGTTAAGCATCTGACTCCGGCTCAGGTCATGATGTCCCAGTTAGCGGGTTCAAGCCCCACATCAGGCTCTGTGCTGACAGCTCAGAGCCTGGAGCCTGCTTCAGATTCTGTGTCTCCCCTTCTCTCTGCTCTTCCCCAGCTCACACTCTGTCTCTCTCTCTCAGAAATAGCTAAACATTTAAAAAAATGTGGTTGAAGATATTGGCTCCACAACACATCATCCTATCTCTGAAGACATTTAGGAGAATCTTCTTTTTTGTCGGTAGGATTCTCCCGCTTTTTCCACAGGGACGTGATAAATTCCAGTTGGTCATAGTCCCCCTTTGTGCTGCTGGAAAGCATAGAGCCGAATTTGTGGGCCCCATCTGAGAGAGGGGTACGGTCTTCCTGGCTTGCATTTGGGGAATTAAACTCATTCCTAAACCCACCTTCATTTCCCCACGAGTGCATTCTTTTTACATTACCTTTCAAATCTGATTTATTTGATTAATTTTAGTTACTAACGTGTGTATTTTGCATGCTGTCTTCACAACAAGGGAATAAATAAATACAGTTGTGAAGCGCTCCCACTCCAAAGGCTAAAGTGACAGGCAGGTAGAGACACAGCTCCCGCTGGCCTGCGGTGCGGACATCGGAACAGGGCACGTGGGGTTTGATTTTTCTTATCTCAAAACATGCTACCCACCGAGCATGAGGAAACTGGCCATTGCTACAGAACAGGATCCAAACAGAGAAGAGCCAGTTAGTGATACAGCAGCACTTCTCGTTGACCGCACGATCTTCGAAGTCGTGGAGTCATGTTTGTTCCAGAGAAGAGGGAAAGGGGGGCCAGGAAAGTAATCCAGCCCGTCACATCCCAAGAAGGTCTAGTGAAAGGCAAGGGAAGTGGCAGGTCTGAGACTCAAGTCGCCTGGGAGAAGCCAGAACGCAGGTCTCCACGGCCCCGGGGGCTGGGGGGGAGTTTTTATCTGACGCTGCTGCCTCTCTCTCTGAGGGCACTGTGACAAGGGCCGGCGTTTCTCATGTGCACACGGAATAAGAGCCTCAGCCTGAGCCCGGTTCAGGAGTCCACGCTCCACCACCCAGACACACCAGAGATCACAATAAGGTAGAGGCCCCCTCCAGCCGCGGGGTGGGGGGAGCTTGTGATCCCCACAATGCAGCTGGAGACAGGCGGACTCACCGCTCTGCTTCTGGGGCTCCGAGTCGCCACAGCCCGCACCTTGTACTTGGGCTGTTGCAGACCCCGGGCCGCCTCTGCCCCAACCCCTGGGCTGGAGTTTGGGGAAGGAGAGCCATGAGCAGGGACAGTCACCAGTGAGGGCCAGTGGGACTGAACTTCCCTTGCTGTGGCACGTGGCCGTGCTCCCCCCCCACCCCTCAGGAGTCCCTGCACATCTGCTGGGAACTACCGGCCGAGCTATTGCTGTGGCTTCCGTGACCCCTCTGGTCACCGCTTTTCATTCTGCTTCACATAGTGCGCCCGACCTGGCGTCCGACGCCGCTGCCCTGCTTTTTCACAGGAGCCCCGGGCAATGCGATGCGTCCCTGGGCCCAGGCTCCGTCTACACCTGGTGAGCTCCCACGAGCAAACTGACCTGTGGCCGTCGCCCAAAGGATTACATCCAATAGCGCGTTTCCCTCCGTGGCCAGGGCTGAGCGCCCGCTCCGTGCCCCCTCCTCCCTCTCAGCCCGAGACTGTGCACTTAGCAGTGAGCTCGGCACGGCGCTTCAATCTGCTGGCACGCTGCCCTTGCCTGCGCCGGGCTCCAGAGCTAAAGGTCGGGGCCTCCGGGAGGCTGCCGTCCTGCCCTTCGTCCAGGGCAGCAGAGACCCCTGAATTGCCGAGCCCACAAATGCATAGCCGGACGTGGAAGACCCAAGCACGTGGAAGGCGAGTTTACCTTTCTTAGCTCCGGGCGCTCGAGGCTGGGAGCAGTGGCCCTGGCGCTGGAGGAACTGATGGACAGGACCGCCCTTGGCCTCGTGGCTTCCCGCCTGGCCGTGGACTTCTTCGGCTGGGGGCCAGGAATGCACAATTTCGGCCACGCGGTTGGCAATGGAAACGACTTTGGGGTCCTCGGCTGAAACGAGACAAAATGGTGCTGAGAGGCCCTTACCAGAAGACCTTGGTCTAGCTCATTGGTATGCACGGTCACCCCAAACGAAAAGCCCAGCCTAGAGGGAGAGGAAGCTGCCCGGGGGCGGGGGGCTGGGGGGTGTTGTACGTGTGTGCGGAGGAGGCCATTCTTCAGAAAGCTCTGGCAGTTGCCTGGCAGAGGCCGGGATGGGGGCGGAGCACACAGAGGAACGACTGCCACCTTGAAACAATTGCCCTTCTGCACCCTCTTTTTGAAGTCTTGTGAAATTAGGGTCCCCTTTCCCCTTTGCAAGGGAAGAAACACAAAAGAAAGTGCTTAGTTCTTTGCTTCAGGGAATCCTCATTATGCTTTTATTTTTATTCTTCTTTTTTTTTTTTTTGGACATCCTTTATATCTTGGGAGAGCTGGCCCCTACGTGCAGAGGAGGGCATTCAAGAGTTTGGCAAGCCTTTGGGGGTTGGTCACTGAGGAAAGAGAAATATCCCCGCTCTCAGACCATATTCATTACTCAAGCCCATTATCAAGTCAACACTGAACTCCCCTTGCTCTTAAAGGGACACGTCTTCTCTCTCCACCACGTCTAACAGGAAACATCCAATTAACGCCGATATGTACCCCAGGGTACAGAAAGAGCAATCCCTGGCTTTCGAGAATTTATAATCCAGGACAAGAGGTATGTATTTGCACACGTTACTCTAGAATAAAGCATGTGGGGGCATGAAGGTTTCAGTGGCAGTGGCCCACTGAATGTCCTAGCCTGTGTAGGGACAAGTCAGCTCTGCTCTCGTTGGGGATGGGGTCAAGTGCGGGGGGTGGGGGGAGAAGGGAGGGGTCAGGTGCTGCGGGGCAGGTGGTATTGCTGAGTTATTTGGGACTAAAATTTTCACTGTTGATTTGTCACTAAGTTCTTAAGTTTTAGAAATTGATGCAAACCGTGTCTTTGATGCCATACAAAGCCTGATTAATATTTGAAAAACACTACCCTGTTCACACACCTGAAGAAAGCAACAGAGTGGGGTTTGGGCCGGAAGGTTAGGGGTGCCCAGAGGAATTCAGGATGGCTACGAGAGGCCTAGCCTGGGTCCCAGGACAGATCATGTCCCATGCTTTGACATCGTACGGAGCTGCCAAGGTGACTTCGGACCGTCTCTCCCTGGATTCCTCCGGGAACGAGAGAGTAGTGCTCTCCCTTCACCCTCTGGGCATCACTGGAAGACCATGGGAACTAATGGTTTGTCCTCAGTGCCTTCCTTAAAATACTAACACATAACGGTTTTCTTAAAAAGGCCATAGCGTTCATGTTTGGTCCACAGGGTTCAAAAAGAGATAAGAAGGAGTGAATTGAAAAGAATTGGAGAGTCAAGGAGAGAAAGATTGATGCTTTTCCTTCCCGTTTTAAAAACCAAACCAGGGGCGCCTGGGTGGCTCAGTCAGTTAAGCGTCCAACTTCGGCTCAGGTCACGATCTCACGGTTTGTGGGTTCAAGCCCCGCATCGGGCTCTGTGCTGACAGCTCAGAGCCTGGAACCTGCTTCGGATTCCGTGCCTCCCTCTCTCTCTGACCGTCCCCTGCTCATGCTGTCTCTCTCTCTGTGTTAGAAATAAATAAAACATTAAAAAAAAAAAACCCAAACCAAATATATACTTGCCATCTTATTTGCAGCCCCGCCAGCTGGCCACCGATGGCCCCTGACAAGGAGGCTGGATCCCAGGGCTGGCGGGAGCCTTCCCTTGTATCGGCAGAAGATGGGGATATTTTTATTCCCCCTCTGTACCCTTGCGCGGCTGGTCTGGGGTGATCAGCACATGGCTGTCCCACCGGAAAGCCACACTGCGTCCATCTTGCACTCAAAGGAGGCATGTGAAGTCCCCAAAGGCTGTCCCTCCTCATCTTCCAGCCCCCATCATGTGGCAGGGCGATCAGAAGACCATTGGCAGGCCCGGAAATACCCAATCTGACTCCGTCGCTTACAGTGTCTCGCTTTCTATGGATTGGTGGGCACGGAGGGAGGGAGGCAGGGGTGGACGTACAGGAAAAAGTAGAAGCGAGTACGTTTAGACTCAGATGAACTAGCTCTAGGGAAGATGCCCGTTTTCCTTCTTTCGTTCTTTTCTTCCCAATTTGTATTTAAATTCTAGTTAGTTACCATATAGGGTAGGATTGGTTTCCCGAGAATTTAGTGACACGGCACTGACACACAACACCTAGTCCTCTTCCCAACAAGTGTCCTTCTTAATAAGATTCCCATTTTAAATACCTTAATTTTAAACCCTGAGGGAAGAAAAGATTCCCTTCTTGTCGGAGTTGATCTCGTCTGACAGGCAAGGGGAAATCGGATGGGGGTGGGGAGAGGACGGGAAGGCTGCCCATCCTTTGGGGTCTATTTGGGGGGGAGGTGGTGTCAGTGTAAGTCTAAGGAGAGCAGGAGACCGCTTTGTGGGGGGGGGGGGAGCTCTGCCTTTGGCTGGAGGCATTGGTTTTGTGGATGTATGTATTCATTTATTCTAAAGCGCATTTATTTATTTTGAGACACAACGCAAGAGGGGGAGTGCAGAGAGAGAGGGAAAGAGAGAGGATCTCAAGCAGCCTCCAAGCTGCCAGTGTGGTGTAGAGCCTGATTTGGGCCATGAGATCAGGACTGGAGCCAAAACCAAGAATGAGACTCTCAACCAAGTGAGCCACCTGGGCGTTCCCCCCTGCCCCACCCCCGTGCGAGGCTTTTGTTTTAAAGAGAAGGGGCAACCATTTCTCCATGGTTGAGACCACTCTTTCCTTCCCAGTATCCATTTTCTTCCTCCTTAGCAAGAGACCCCTGAAGTGTCACAGGCAGCAATGCCTTCAGCTGCACAGACTACATTTCCCAGCCTTCTTTACAGTAAAGAGTGGCCAGTGAGATGTAAGAAAAGTTGAGTGCAGTTCCAAGAAAGCTCTCTAAAACGGAACTGAAGTCTCTAGAAAGACACCCTTTTGTTCCTCCCACCACTTGCTTCCTCTTTTCCCCGCTTGAAATGGAGAGGTGACGGCTGGCATCTCAGCAGCCACTTTGGCATATGAGGTGACTCTGAGGTTGGAAGTTACTAGCCAAGGGATGGCAGAGTAGGATCATTCCACATGTAGCGAATCCTAGCTGTGGACAAATAAGGGCTCACAGGTAGTTTCTAAGATTGGTCCTGACACCTGTTTCTCTACCTCCTAAGACCTCTCGCTTCTAGACTTCGATCTTGTGACGTGACCTTACAGTTCTCACTGAAGCCTGGTGTCTGAGTCCTGCAAACAGCAGCGAGGGCTAAACTGTGACCTTCAGGTAAAAGAACTCAGGCGACACCGGCTGCGAAGCTCTGAGTTTTACGTAGCAAAAGAGATGAGCCACATCCGATGAAAAACCACCAGACTGCCCCCATGACCGGCCAAGTAAGAGAGTGGGCTACGGAGAGGTGGGAAGGGAAGACACATGGAACCCAAGTGTCTACAGCGAGACCTCCCTAGGGAGGGTCATTCCTACTCTTCTAGAGGTGTCTATGTCTACATAAAGATCTCAGAATTTTAGTAAGTGAAAAAGGTCAAATGACACTTCAGGTTATCGAAATACAGAGTGTCATTTGTCTCGGGAAACCAGAAGATTAAAGTTTGTAAAAGCTGCCTCTGTCTCTCGGAAAAATCCAGAGGAGAGCCAAGCAGAGAAGCCTATTTAGGTGCTTTCCCACGGTTCTGTATGCTCCAGAGCTAAGCTACCATCCCCAATGGGAGCTTGTGCTACGGTACATGGAAGGAGGAGTTCCCCTCTCGTTCTAAAAGTTTATCACATTTTTTTAATGTTTTATTTATTTCTGAGAGAGAGAGAGAGAGAGACAGCGTGAGCAGGGGAGGGTCAGAGAGAGAGGGAGATACAGAATCTGAAACAGGCTCCAGGCTCTGAGCTGGCAGTCAGCACAGAGCCCGACGCGGGGCTCGAACCCACGAACTGTGAGATCATGACCTGAGCTGAAGTCAGACGCTTAACCGACTGAGCCACCCAGGTGCCCCCTGGTTCTAATAGTTTTCAAGTCTAGCGGGAAATCAACATTTCCTTGATCATCACGAGGGATCAAAAACTACCAGGCGTGCATTGTTGCTCCAAGTAAGCCGGGACAGTCACACCATTTTAAAATTGAGACATTACTGCCACCTGTTGACTAATTATTGACAATCTACCCCAGCCGCCAAGCCCAGCAGGAGTGGGGGGTTTCTTTTAAAATCTGGGCAGAGGGTCCTAGGTGTTGTTGAAGGGCAAGAAGCTGGTCGATGGAGGGCAAGTCTCCATGGTAAAGCCCTTCGCGAAAATGTTTTATTCAATAGAATGTATTTTGTCCCACTGAGGGAAGGTTTTAACAAAATGCTTCTCAGTTGTGTGTTTTCTTTTTCCTAGAGTGCTTTATACTTTGAAGAAGTATTTTTGTATATAGCTACCTGATCTTTCCATCCATCCTAAGAGGTCGGGAGGGTGGGACATCCCAATGTACAGATGGAAATAAAGGCCCAGAGAGGTGAGTTAACTTACCTCCAGGAGGGTGCCAGCCTGAACCCCTATGTAGGGCTCTTTCTTTTATACTGGTCTCTGGCACAGAGGATCAGGAATTTGGGCAGCAAACTTATTTATAGACAGAGGAGCCGGACAATCAGTCCTGTCACCCTTCGCTGCCATTCTCTTACTTTCTGCTTGGCCTTCAGAAAAGCAAGGCTGTTATTATCGAATATTGACAAGTGGGGAAACCGAGGCACAACGGAGTGCCCTCCCTCAGACCACATTACCAACTGGGAGGAGATGAACCACTGTGCACACAAAGAAGGGGAAGATTTTGTTGTGGGAGAGCAGGATCCCCCAAATCCTACCTTCATGCTCTATACGGGGTCCCACGTTGGAAAGGGACCGAGTCCTTGGCTGACTGGGCCCTTGAAACTCTGCTACTGTCCGACCCTGGACATGCAACATAGGGGGGCTCTGTTCATTTTCCTCCCTCTCCGCCACTCCAAAGAGTGTTCTCCAGGACGACTTTTTCTTGCCCAGGTTCGCGGCCTTCTCGGTGGACGGGGACGTTCTCCAAGCCCATGACACCTGTGTCCACTCGTGTGCTGGCCAACTCCCCAGTCCTCTCTGGGACGAACTTCTCGCTCTGGGCAGCTTTGACGAGGCGGCGGCATGCGTGTTCCCGAAGACGTGGTGTTTGGCGTAGAACGCCAGGATTTTGAACTCCATGCTGTTCGGGTCGTCGTCGTCCAGGGGGATCTCCTCCAGGTCACGGGCACTGACGGTGCACATGGCGAGCCTGCAGCAACAAAGTCCACACGCGTCCTTGTACCTGTGGGCGCGCTACTCTCTGTAGGTCAGGAGAGACCGGTGGATCACGGCGAACATTTATTGAGCACCTATTCTGTTCGTGCAGAGAAGCAGGGAGTAGTCAGACATGGGAAACCCAGGGTTCCTTCTGAAAGCGCAGCCTCGCAGAGGAAGAGAGAAGGCACAGAGGCAGCTCCAGAGGAGGAGGAACCGGGTCAGAGCACGCGAAGCCTCCTGGACACACAGAAAGGGTTTAGGCCGGGGGAATGGTATTGGGGCTAAGAACAGGGTGCGCAGAGGGCAGACCGTGGTTGAGTCTGGGATGTGTCTGAAGAGTGGCCAGAGGGCTGAACAGCCGGGGTTGGGGGAGGGAGGGACAGCAAGTGAAATAATGGCAGCGGGGCCAACTCTGGGGGCCTTGGAACCTGCGACTAAAAACCTCCGCGTTTTCTCACTTTGATCAGTCAGTACTTCCCAAAGGAGCCCGAGACCTGAGACCTCGAGAGGCAGTTGAAGGGCTTCTTGGGGAGGGTGGGTGGGCAGAGGGGGAGGCTAACTCAGGAGGGAAATACCTGGGATCTCTGACCCTTCCCATCCTCTCTTCCTTCATCCTTGACCCTCTCCACTGGCTTGCACAGGTCTGCTTCCATCTCCTGCCATCTTGGTATTCTGTGTAAGATTTCACCTGGGGGCGCCTGGGTGGCTCAGTCAGTTAAGCTTCTGACTCTTGATTTCGGCTCAGGTCATGATCTCACAGTTCGTGAGTTCGAGCCCTGCGTCAGAGCCTTCTTGGGCTTCTCTCTCCCTCTCTCGCCGCCCCCGCTAGTGCACGCAGTCTTGCATGTGTGCTCTCTCTCCCTCCCTCTCTCTCTCTCAAAATAAATCAATAAATAAACTTTAAAATATCCCATCCAGGGGCGCCTGGGTGGCTTAGTCGGTTGAGCGTCCGACTTTCGCTCGGGTCATGATCTCGCGGTTCGTGGGTTCGAGCCCCGCGTCGGGCTCTGTGCTGACTGCCAGCTCGGAGCCTGGAGCCTGTTTCAGTCTGTGACTCCCTCTCTCTCTGACCCTCCCCTGCTCACGCTGTCTCTCTCTCTCTCCTAGAAATAAATAAAAAACATTAAAAAAAAAATTAAAAAAAAAAATATCCCATCTGAAAAAAAATCCCGTTATTTTCACAGATTTGAAGAGCGCCGATGCAGGCAGCAGAGAGCTTTCCCAAGTTTTAGCGGGAGAGTGATACAGTCGCTGGCAGGTTTTGGAAAGGTCGATCCAAGGACTGAGATGATGAGATAGATTCCCTTTGCATCTCCCTCCCCCCCACATTCTCCCCTCCCCCCACCACGTGGTCTCAAAGGTCAACCATTTGCCTCTTCCAGATATGGTGTTAGTGCCCCCCTATACATATATGTATACGTATATATCCTCAGCCGAATATAAACCCCATGAGGCCACGTGCTCCTCTGTCTCAGCCTCATGTCCGGTGCCTACGGTAACACCGGGAGCAAAAAGGCACTGGACGGAAACTTGTGGAACGTTTTTTCCTACTTGGAGAGAGACTGGGTTCAAATCCTGGCTCCACCACTGGCAGTTCTGTGACTGGCCTCCGTGCCTCAGTTTCTCATGTTGAGAATGGGCATGCTAACAGTACCCGTTTCATACTGTTCTGGAGCTTAAATGAGTTAATGTTTGTAAAGCATCTAGAATAGAACTTAAGTGTTTGAACGAGTGCCTGGATAAGTCTTTCAGTAAGGAATATTTATTTATTTATTAAATGTTTATTTTTGAGAGAGAGAGAGAGAGACACACACACACACAGCATGAGTGGGGAAGGAGCAGAGAGACAGGGACACACAGAATCTGAAGCAGGCTCCAGGCTCTGAGCTGTCAGCACAGAACCTGATGCGGGGAACCAAGAGATCCTGACCTGGGCTGAAGTCAGCGGCTTAACCAACTGAGCGATCCAGGCGCCCCCTCCCCCCCTTTTTTCCATTAAGGAATATTTATGAAACTCACTTCGGGGATCACTGCTGCTTCAATTAAGCTCCAGACGGTATAGGGAGAGTGCAGCATTTGCAGCAAGAAGATGGGTTGAAGGCCTGCTTTTTTACTTATTGGTAAGGGGACTGAAGCCAATCACTAACCCCTCTGAGGTGTTATTTCCCTATTTATAAAAAGTGACTCACATTCTCTAACTCACTGACCATGTAGGAGGACTAAATGACAACCTGTGAAAATACTGAAAACAAGTGTTGGTCTGTACAAAGTAGTAGTTTACATGCTGGTCTCTTGATGTAGTTAACCTAGTTCACATGCCGGGCCATCGGCTTACTAGCTGTGTGACCAGGTACGTTTCTTAATTTATTCGTGCCCCCGTTTTCCCATCTACAAGATGGGGATTTAAAAAAAAACCCTACTTAGGGGCGACTGGGTAGCTCAGTTGGTTGAGTGTCTGACTCTGGATTTCGGCTTAGGTCATGATCTCACGGTGGTCATCAGATGAAGCCTGGAATGGAGGTGAGCTCTGCACTGGGCATGGAGCTTACATACGATTTTCTTTGTGCCTCTTCCCCTTCTCACGGTCTCTCTCTCTCTCTCTCTCTCTCTCTCTCTCTCTCAAAAAACAAAAACAAACCAAAAAACCTGCTTTCTCAAGTTTGTATGGGGATACAAAGAATGTGTGTGTACACTTAAAATAGTGGACGGTAGATGATAAATGCTCAAGAAATATTGGCATCATTATTTATTACAATTATACTATTTTAATAGGTTACTTTTTTGTAAGTAAATATTAATGTTTAGAAAAGCAACCTCCTCAAATGCAGCAATTCAGAAAACTAGTGACATACAAATATCTGGTTTAGCACAAAAGCCACCCTCTTGTCTACATATATATGTGTATAGTGTGTGTATGTGTGTGGGTGGGTATGTAAAGTATATATTCTGTAAGAAATGAAGGCTGGGACCTGGCTGGCTTTCCTAGCACCAAGCACCATGCCTGACACATGGTAAGTTCTCCATAAATATTTGCTGCATGAAGGAAAAATGATTATAGAGCTGCCAGATAAAATACAGAGCATCCTATTAAACTTGAATTTCAGATAAGCAAATATTTTTTAGTATAAACATGTCCCAAATATTGTATGGAACAGGCTTATACTTAAAAAAAAAAAAGTGTTGTTTATCTGAAATGCCAACTAAAGTGGACGTCTTGCATTTTTATGCAAATCTGGCAACCGTAGGAACGTAAGATGTTGAGAAGGGTGATAAAAGTGAGTGAGTGAGATGGACCAAGGGCGAGAGTGAGCAGCCTGACATAAGGGAGAGAAGAAGCCAGAAAGAGTGAGGCAAGAGCAGGCTAGGCGGCCGGAACTGGGGCAGCCCACTCGGTGTGGCAGGAGCTGAGCCCAGAGCTGTACTGTGTCAGGAGAGAAGTGATCAGGTTTTACATTTGAAGGTTCCTTTTGAATTAGGCAGCTGAGGAAGGTTCCGGGCAGGAAACGCACTCAGGTCCTGCAAGAACCGTGTCCTGGGTGGGAAGGCGAGCCCTCTCCTCAAGCCATACTGTGCTTCCGAAGAACCTGCACATAAGTTAAAAAACCCCAAACCTTTCTAGTGTAGTGGGAAGACTTTAAAATAGTGTGTGTGTGTGTGTGTGTGTGTGTGTGTGTGTGTGCGTGCGCGTGCACGCGCGCCTGAGTGGCTCAGTCAGTTAAGTGTCGGACTTCGGCTCAGGTCATGATCTCACAGTCCATGGGTTCAAGCCCTGTTTCCGATTCTATGTCTCCCTTTCTGCTCCTCCCCTATTCATGCTCCGTCTGTCTGTCTCAAAAATAAAACAGTAAAAAGAAAATTTAAAAGTGTATGTGTGTGTGTGTGTGTGTGTGTGTGTGTGTGACTGACTGAGAGAAGTAGGGTCTTCTTTAAGATCTCATGGTTCACGAGTCGGGCTCTGTGCTGACAGCTCAGAGCCTGGGGCCTACTTTGGATTCTGTGACTCCCCCTCTCTCTCTCTCTGCCCCTCCCCCTGCTCATGCTCTGTCTCGTTCTCTTTCAAAAACACATAAACATTAAAGAAAGAGAAAAGAAAAGAGTTTGCTGGATGCTGACTCAGGAGCATGATCAGAAAAGGGGAAAATTACTGAGGTCACAATGGAGCATACAGTCTTTCCATGTGAAAGAAGGGATTTTTGTTGTGTTACAGGCTAGAAAGGAATGGGGCCCTTGGCCAAGCTAAAGGGCAAGTCTGAAAATGAGAGAGAAGCAGAAAGCACGGCAGAGCTCAGGTCTTGGCCCGGGTGAGGCAGCCCTAGAGCGGGGTAAGTGGGGGGAGGGGGTGTGTGGATGCTGTGACCAGGGCCTGGAAAGCCCTGGGCTAAAATAAAATAGTGGAGACATAAAAGTATCCGTTCAGACACTTTAAATGCGTTTGACAAGGGCAGGGTCTTCGCCTCTACTGACCCGCATTGTCAATGAAGGGAGAGCTGTTAACGTTGTAGCTAAGGCTTAATTTAAAGCAGCCATAGTTTATCGCATGTTGGATTCCTTCTGCTCTCAGCTATTCTTGTGGAAAGTCAAAGCCCAACTTTTTTTTTTTAACTTTTTTTTTAATGTTTTATTTATTTCTAGGAGAGAGAGAGAGAGAGAGACAGCGTGAGCGGGGGAGGGTCAGAGAGAGAGGGAGTCACAGACTGAAACAGGCTCCAGGCCCCGAGCTGGCAGTCAGCACAGAGCCCGACGCGGGGCTCGAACCCACGAACCGCGAGATCATGACCTGAACTGACCCAAAGTCAGATGCTTAACTGACTGAGCCACCCAGGAGCCCCTAATGAGTTTGTTATTTTTAAAGAAGTAAACATTTTAAACATTTCTTGGTTTAAAATATGTTGAATATTTTAATATGTTGAATATTGATATAGTCCACGTGAACAAAAGATCTTTGGGGTCCTCAATAATTTTTTTTTTAAATCGTTTATTTATTTCCAGGAG